AGGGGAGGATATGGGGGAACCCGGAGGTAACCAGTATTGGAGTGCATGATGCGAAGCTCCCAAAGAGTCAAGAAATAAGTTAAATTAAGGGGCTGGAGAGATGGTTGGTCCTGAGTTCAACTCCCAACAACCGCAGTGAGGCTCACAACCATCTGTAATGAGATCTGGTGCCCTCTTCTGGGCGGCAGGCACACATGCAGGTGGAACACTGAATACATAATGAATGAATACATTTTTAGGAAGAAAAGAAAGAAAGATTGAAGGAAGAAAAGATTTTCAGGGTGTGTGAGATAGACTGGGTCTTTGTGCTTGCTGCCAAGCCAGACAATCGAGTCTATACCCTGGAACGCGTGTGGCAGAAGGAGAGAGCAGACTTCCAGAAGCTGCCCTTTGACCCATACATGTGCCCCACTGCACACCAGCCCCCCTGACAGATAAACAAATATAATATATATATTTTATTTTTTCCTATCTGACCACCATATATTCAAGATTATATATATATATATATTAAGACTTGATTTTTTTTTATTTGTTTTTCTAATAGAGAGTTACACTGTGTACTTTGGCTGGCCTGAAACTGCATAGATCAGGTTGGCTTTGAATGCAAAGATATTTGCTTGCCTCTGCCTCTGCCTCTGCCTCTGGAGTGCATGCCTAGCCAAGATTTTGTTTATTCTGTTTACTTTTATTTTGAGACAGGATTTTTCTGCGTAGCTCTTGCTGTCCTAGAACTCGGTCTGTAGACCAGCCTGGCCTCGAACTCAGAGATCCACCTGCCTCTGCCTCCTGAGTGCTGGGATTAAAGATGTGCACCACCACCAATTGGCTTAATAATAAAAAAAATTTAAATAGGCTTTAAAATCACATTTATATATTTATGTGTGTGTGGGCTGCAGAGCCAGGGTGCAGGAGTGTGGAGGTCAGAGGACACCCTGTGGGAACTGAGTCTTATCCCTTTATTCATGGAAACAACATCTTATTCCTTTATTAGACTGTTTGTTCAAAGGGCATCTGCTCTGACTGGGTTCTTTCTGAGCTATGAGAGGAAAGTTAGCCCCTCAGGGAAGCAGTTGCATAAACAAACTGGACTTCAGAGAGGTCAAAACTGGAGGCATATGTGGGGTTCATCAGTGTAGAGGGAAGGCCAGGGGAAAGTGGGCCTGAGCCCTGACATTTGGAGCTGTGTGTGTGTCTGTGTGTGTGTGCAGATATATGGGTGTCCATGAGCCAAGAGAGACACCTGTTGGCAGGTGATGATGGCGAAGTCAGGATTAGACAAGGAGAAGCAGCCTCTGTGGAAGGGAAGTGTGAAGCTGGACCAGAGGGGAACAGAGTAGTGAATAGAAAGCAAGAGGTAGGGAAAACCATGCCTTTGGGGGTTTTGGCATTTTTAGGAACTTGTTTTTGTGTACAGTGCCTTAGAGTTTCCTACACCAAGCACCTTCCTTCTCTTCTTAAAAACCTAAAAATAGGCCGGGCGGTGGTGGCACACGCCTTTAGTCCTAGCACTCAGGAGGCAGAGACAGGTGGATCTCTGAGTTTGAGGCCAGCTTGGTCTACAAAGAGAATTCTAGGGCAAAGCCAGGGCAGTTACAGAGAAACCCTGTCTCGAAGATCCAAAAACAATCTGGAAAAAGGACCCCTAAAACTAAAAGTATGTACTTATTGCTATTATTACTGTGTCTCTGTGTGCCCCGGGGTACGGGTTACCCTTCCACTACAGGTGGCTTCCAGGCTCCAGCAGCAAACGTTTGTATCCTGCAGAGTCATCCTGCCAGCTCCCCAGTCCAGCCCTTTTTTTTTTTTTTCTTTGTGATAGTTTCACTAAGGTGCCAATTGGTCTTGAGTTCTCACCCTAACCCTCTAACCCAGGGGGGTCTGGAACTTTTTGATCCTCCTGCCTCAGTGTTCTAGGCAGATGGGATGGCTCAGCTCGAGTATCTCTTAGTTGAGTTTATTTCTGGAACTTTCCTTACTCTGTCTTTTTGGCACACAGGTTCCCCAGTTTGCAGTTCAGCCACAGACTCTAGGGTAGGGGGTTAGATTCTGGGGCAGGTTTCAATTCTGCTTGGACAGTCTGGTTTTGGCCAACAATACTAACTGGAAACTTGTCACCGATCGCCATCTAGTGGTGATTTGGAAAACTGTTCTGGGTCCAAATTAATTTCTTGTAGCTTGAGTTACGGGCTTAAGAGACGGCTAGCTGTCCTGGATACAGTGAGTCCGAGCCCTCAGGTTGCTCAGGTTTGGGAGGAGTGTGGTCCAAACGGACAGAGTCGGGGTCTGGGAAAATGGCTCGTTGGGTAAGAGCTGCCCAGGTCGTGAACCTCAGTTCAGACCATAGTATCCAGCCAGGGGACAGGAAGCTTTGCTGACTGCTAGCGCTTAGCCAAGAAACAGCAAGCCCGGGTTCCCTGTCTGGAAGGGATGAAAAGGAGCGTGATGATGGGCGTCTGGCATCTGCCTGGGGGCTCCGTGTATGTGCACCCCCACGTGGCGAACATTTCTCCACTCCCAAAGGTTTGTTTGTTTGTTTGTTTGTTTATTTATATTTTGAGACAGGGTTTCATTATGTAGAACAGAACTCTCTCTGTAGATCAGGTTAGCTTCCATTCCCAACAGAGACTTGTCTCAGCCTCCCAGGTGCAGGGACAGAGGGTGACCCCCACTGCATCCAGCTTCTAGCTTTTTCCTTATTCTGTTTTCCCCACACAGGGTCTCGGGGTCTCCGGCAGCCCCAGGCTGACCTGATGTGTGATGCATGGATAAGGATGGCCTTGAACTCCTGATATCCCCTGTCTCTTATTGCCAGTTGCTGGGATTCCAGGCTGTGTTTAGCAGATTAGTGAAGGCCTCCAACACCACCCAGTTTATGGGTTTTTTTCTAAGATGCCACTTCACCCTACTTTAAAGACTTGTTTTTACCTGTTATGTGTAAGTGTGTGGGTGTGAATGTGGGTATGTGTGCAAGAGTACAAGTTCCCACGGAGCCAGGAGAGGCCACTGGATTCTCTGGGGCCCAGTGATGTGTGGTTGTGAACCACCAGGGTAGGGTGCTAGGAACTGAACTCAGGTCCTCTGCAAGCAGAGCACAGGCTCTCAACCACTAAGACATCTCTCCAGGCCCCTAAAGAACACTTATTTTGAAGCTCACTGCCCACTGGGTGGTGGTGGCACACACTTTTAATCCCAGCACTCAGGAGGCAGAGTCAGGTAGATCTCTGGGAGTTCGAGGCTGGTCTACAAGAACTAGTTCCTGGACAGGCTCCAAAGCTACAGAGAAACCCTGTCTCAACAAACAAACAAGCAAACAATGGTGGCATCTTTAAGCCTAGCCTCAGGAGGCAGAGGTAGGTGCATCTAAGTTCCAGGTCAGCCTGACTGACATAGTAAGTCCCAGGCTAGATGGTCTACATAATGAGACCCTGATTCATTCAAACATTTTTTAAAATTTTTTTGGGGGTTAGGAATGTACTCAGTAGACTGCTTTTCTTTCTTTTTATTTTTCTTTAATGACTTATTTATTTTAATTTTATGTGCATTGGTGTTTGACCTGCATGTATGCCTCTGTGAATGTGTTGGAGCCTCTGGAACTAGAGTTACAGACAGTTGAGAGTTGCCATGTGGGTGTTAGGAATTGAACCCAGGTCCTCTGGAAGAAGAGCCAGTGTTCCTAACCACTGAGCCATTTTTCAACTCCAGTAGAGTGCTTTTCTAGCACAAATAAACCCTCCTTGATCCCCAGCACTGTAAAGATGGATTATGATGCTTGTTGTCCATCTGTGACCCCAGCATCCAGAGAGAGGACGATCAGAAAGTCTGGGTCATCCTCGGCTAATAGGAGGCCAACCATGGAAAATGGCACAGTGGGTAAAGTGTTAGTCTCAAAAGTGTGAAGACCTGCATGCAAATCCACAGAGCCCACGGAAAAGCACGCATTTGTAATAACACCTGTAACCCCAGCGCTCTCACAGTAAGACGAGAGGCAGAGATGGGAGACTCCTGGAAGCTGCAACAAGACAAGAGCTCACCTCACACAGGGTGGAAGGTGAGGCCCGACCTCCACACACACGGCACCAGAGGGCCTGCACTGATGTGCATGAATGTGCACATCCTCATAAACTCACAAAGTTCAAAATGAAGGAAGTGAGAGGGGCAGGAGTGGGCTGGTGGTGAAGGGAGCACTCTGCTCCTCTAGAAGACTCGATTTTGGTTCCCAGCACCCGTGTTGGGCAGCTCAAAGCTCCCGTAGTTCCAGGGGATTCGAGGTCTCCAGCCTCTGAGGGCACCTGTGCTTACAGACATATACCCCCATGCAGACACATAATTCAAAACGAGATGGGGCTGGAGAGATGGCTCAATGGTTAACAGCACTTGCTGCTTTTGCAGGGGACCTCGGAGTTCAGTTCCCAGCACCTGCATAGGGCGGCTCACAACCACGTGTAAGACCAGTTCCAAGGAATCCTATGCCTCTGGCCTCTGGGTATCTGCACTAACATCCACATAATCTCTGTGTGTGTTTGTCTGTCTGTCTGTCTGTCTCTCATATATACACATACATATACAAACACACTCATAATTTTAAAATATATCTCTAAAAATGATAAAAATTGCTGGGTGTGGTGGCATACACTTTTAATCCTAGAGAGCAGAGACAGGAAGATCTCTAGAGTTTTAGGCCAGTCTGGTCTACATGTTGAGTTCCAGGGTTACGGACCCTCAATAATAGGACCCTATCTTTAAGAAAAAGAAAAAAGATAAAAATTAAATATTTTTTGGAAAGAGTTAAAAATAGGTACCAACAAGATAGTCAACACCAAGATAACATATATAACATATATATACAAATATATCATTAGGTAACCAAGGCTCTATCACCCTCCCATGCATATTACTCAAAAAACCCTGAAAAGACAAGAAAAGACAAGTAGCATGAACAGATCGAAGGCCAGGAAGGGAGGGTTTCCGCCACGGGGGAGCACCACCCCACTTCTGGTTCAGTTTGTTTTGCGGTACAAAGAGCTCAGGCCGACAGGAATGGGCGGCCACGAGTCCACCGTGCTGATGGAGGAGCGCTTGCGGCGGCCGGCTATGCTCACCGTCTTGGGGTCCTTGTAGAGCGTGTAGCCGTGCTTGACGATGAACGGCAGAGAGGTGAAGTGCAGGAGCATGCGGAAGATTTGCAAGAGCAGATACAGGTGGCCGAGGTCCTTGAACTGCTCCTTGATGGTGCCGTGGATGAGCACCACCATGGTGAAGCTGAAGAGCTCATAAACAGTGATCCACAGGACGTAGATGATCAGCCCGACGAGCATGTTCTTGTCGAGGCAGAAGAGGAGGAAGCAGCTGACGGTGATGGTGGTGATGGACAGGCCGGTGCTGATGTTGTGCCTGTAGACCACAGCCCAGGTTGAGACCTCAGAGTTCATGTCCAGGTAGATGCTGTATTTGTCTTCGAAGCCAATGTGTGTTATCTGATTCAGATCAAAGATGAAGAACTGGATGGTGTTGAGGATAGAGAAGATGCCCGCTATGGTGGATACCATCTTGGAGTTCATTTTATACCAAAGTCACCGAGTTAGGTCCTGAAGGGGAAAATCAGGGGTAAACATGACAGGCAGAGCTTGCTCAAGACGGATTCCTCAAATTACTAGGTGTAACTAGGGGATCGAGGGACAAAGACCATCTGCAGTCAGATTTTTCTTTGGGCCGCTGGCTCACAAAAAAGCAACCAAAGATTTATAGTTAATTATAAAAGCTCAGCCTATAGCTTAGGTTTGTCCCAATAGCTCTTATAACTTAAATTAATCCATTATATTAATCTACATTTTGCCTTCTGGCTTTTTACCTCTCTTCCATCTTGCACCTCCTGTTTCCTCTGGCCTCTATCCTGGGCCTAGATTCATCTCTCCACCCCCCCACCCCCCCAGAAGTCCTGTCTAACATCTTCCTGCCTAGCTATTGGCCATTCAGCTCTTTGTTAAGCCAATCAGAAGGCACCTTGGCAAAGACCCATCTTTGCAGAGTATAAAAGGTTACTCCACAACTATGATCCAGAGAAAGAGTCTGGTGTGGGCTAACTTAAGCAGCTGGAATTGTTGTTGGGACGCAGAAAACACCATTGGCCTAGGGGAAGCTTCCAACCCTGTCTCCACCCAGCTGTAAGGTGAGCTCTGGGGGCAGGAAGATAAGGGGTTCAAGGTCATTCTCAGCCTAGCTTACAGGAGACTCTGCCTTAAAACCAAACTAAAAAGTAACACGGACTCATCAGTTAGGAGCCTGTGTGGTCCTATAGAGGAGCAAAGTTCAGTTCCCAATCCCGAGGTCCCATGGCTCAGCTGCCTGTAGCTCCAGCTCCAGGGGCTCCATCTTGGGTTATGTTATTATTATTATTATTATTATTATTATTATTATTATTATTATTATTATTTGAGACAGTGTTTCCTTGTGTAGTCCTGGCTGTCCTGGAAATTGCTCGAACTCACAGGGATCCTCCTGCCTCTGCCTCCCAGATGCTGGGATTAAAGGTGTGCACTGCCACACTCGGCTTTGGTTTCTTTTCTGTTGCTGTGATAAGGCGCAATGACTAAAGCCACGTCAGAGGAGTTTATCTGGAGCTTACCGTACCAGAGGGCGAGTCCGCGACCAGGCTGTCACACCAGCAGGCAGGAAAGCCCAAGCCGTAACTGAGAGCTTACATCCGATCCCTAAATAAGAGGCCGAGAGTTTACTGGGAATGGCGCTGGTTTTTGAAACCTCAAAGTCCATCCCCAGTGACATTCTGTCTTAGGGTTTCTATTGCTGTGAAGAGACACCATGACCACAGCAACTTTATTATGAAGGAGAAAAAATTTAATTGAAGTGGCTGGCTGACAGTTTCAGAGGTTTAATCCATTATCATCGGGGTGGGGAGCATGGCCGAGTGCAGGCAGATGTGGTGCTGGCTACGTCTCGACCACAACGTAACAGGAAATCACCTGACAAAGGGAGAACTCAAAACCCGCCCCCACAGTGACACACTTCCTACTCCAACAAAGCCACACCTCCTAATGGTGCCACTCCCTTTGGGCGCCATTTTCTCTCAAACCACCACACATATCTTATCCAACAAGCTGTACATGGTGAGGTCAGTGAGAATGGCCCCCATGGGCTCATATGTTTGAAAAGTTGCTGTTTGGAACTGTGGGCTCCATGCCCGGCTCTACATGAGCCTGCTATGGCGGCACACGCTGATAATCCTAACACCTACCAGGTAGACACAGGGGGATCTTAATTTCAAGGCCATTCTTTCCTTTTTTAAAAAAAGATTTATTCATTTATTGGTGGTGCACGCCTTTAATCCTAGCACTCGGGAGGCAGAGGCAGGCCGATTTCTGTGAGTTAGAGGCTAGCCTGGTCTACAAGAGCTAGTTCCAGGACAGGTTCTAAAACTACAGTGAAACCCTGTCTCAAAAAAACAAACAAAAAATTACTTATTATGCATACCATATATGCCTGTATGCCAGAAGAGGGCACCAGACCTCATTACAGATGGTTGTGAGCTGCTATGTGGTTCCTGGGAATTGAACTCAGGACCCTGGAAGAGCAGGCAGTGCTCATTTTTTTCCTGCTTTGTTTTGTTTTTTCAAGACAGGGTTTCTCTATGGAGCCTGTCTTAGAACTAGCTCTATAGACCAGGCTGGCCTCGAACTCCCAGAGATTAGCCTGTCTCTGCCTCCTGAGTGCTGGGATTAAAGGCATGTGCCACCACCACCTGGCACATTCGGCGCTGTTAACCTCTGAGCCATCTCTCCAGTCCTATCAAGGCCATTATTTATTATATAGCAAGTTTGAGGCTGATCTGGGAGACATAAGACACCCTGTCATTTCCTGGTACCCACCTCACTCCACTGTTATTCCAGGGTTATTTATTTATTTATTTATTGCTGTGTAGTACTCCATTGTGTAAATGTACCACATTTTCCTTATCCATTCTTCAGTCAAGGGGCATTTAGGTTCTGGCTATGACAAACAAAGCTGCTATGAACATAGTTGAGCACATGTCCTTTATTATTTTTTTTATTGGATTATGTGATCTTTCGGTGTCCAATTTCTTGAGTGCTTTGTATATTTTGGAGATCAGACCTCTGTTTGATGTGGGGTTGGTGAAGATCTTTTCCCATTCTGTAGGTTGTCGTTTTGTCTTGTTGACCGTGTCCTTTGCTTTACAGAAGCTTTTCAGTTTCAGGAGGTCCCATTTATTAATTGTTTCTCTCAGTGTCTGTGCTGCTGGGGTTATATTTAGGAAGTGGTTCCTGTGCCAGTGCGTTCAAGTGTACCTCCCACTTTCTCTTATATAAGGTTCAGTGTGGCTGGCTTTATGTTGAGGTCTTTGGTCTATTTGGACTTGAGTTTTGTGCATGGTGATAGATATGGGTCTACTTTCATTCTTCTACATGTTGATATCCATTTATGCCAGCACCACTTGTTAAATATGCTTTCTTTTTTCCATTTGATATTTTTTGCTTCTTTATCAAATATCAGGTGTTCGAAGATGTGTGGATTGACATCTGGGTCTTCTATTCAGTTCCATTGGTCCTCCTGTCTGTTCTTTTGCCAATACCAGTCTGTTTTCAGTACTGTAGCTCTGTAGTAGAGTTTGAAGTCAGGGATTGTGATGCCTCCAGAAGTTCTTTTATTGTACAGGATTGTATGGCTATCCTGGGTTTTTTGCTTTTCCATATGAAGTTGAGTACCATTCTTTCGAGGTCTTTGAAGAATTTTGCTGGGATTTTGATGGGCACTGTGTTGAATCTGTAGATCGCTTTTGGTAAGATTGCTGTGCTTTTAACCTTTGAGACCTTTGAGCCACCTCCCCAGTCCCCTTCCATGCCCCTGTTCACCTGCACTCGGAGGCCAGAAAAGGGCATCCAGTCTCTTCCTCTGCCATGCCACTCTCTGCCTTTTCATTGAGGCAGAATCTCTACCTGAATCTTGGTTCACATTTTCTTGGCCAGGCTGGAAGCTGGCAAGTCCCAGAGATGCTCCCGTCTCTGCCTCCATAGGAGCTGGGGCTATTTGTATTTGAAGGCATACCTACCTGTCTTGATACATGTGAGCTGGGGAACAAACTCTGACCCTCATGATTGTGGTGCGAGTGCTCGCACCACTGAGCCCCCTCCCCCAAGGACATGATACAGTCCATGAAAATGTCTCCAGTGAACTCATGAATATGTGCAATATAAAACAAACACCATCAGGAAGGGAGGAGGGGTGGAAGGAGGGGCTGTAGAGCCTGCTCATCATTTAGGAGTGCTTGCTGATCCTGCAGAGGACGTGTTTTGGTTCCTGGCATCTATGTTGGGTAGCTCACTACTACCTGTAACTCCAGCTCCGGGGTACCCAACAACCTCTCCTGGGCCTTTTGGGCACTGCATATGGTCTTGGTTGGAATACAGCTATGGATAGCAGACTTTAGCTTCTAATGTAAGAATATGCTTGGACAAGGAGCTAGCTATAAAGAGCTGGGCGATGGTGGTGCACACCTTTAGTCCCAGCACTCGGGAGGCAGAGGCGGGCGGATCTCTGTGAGTTTGAGGCCAGCCTGGACTACAGCGTGAGTTTCCGGACGTCCGGGGCTACACAGAGAAACCCTGTCTCAAAAAACAAAACAGAGCAACAACAACAAAACCCAAACAAAACAAAAGCAAAACAAAAAACCTAATGTAGTGGTACACGCTTGTAAACCCAGCACTCCAGAGGTGGGGACCAGAGGGTCAGAAGTTTAAGCTCATTTCAAGGTTGTTCTTAGCAGCATGGTGAGTTCAAAGCCGGTCTGGGCTACATGAGACCCTGTCTCAAAAGCAAAACCAAAACATGACCCGACCTAACACACAAGTTGAGGTACATTGTGTTATATGAGTTCAATTATATTTCTATGTGATAATGAACAACCATTGGATGTTAAAGTTAAGAGATGAAGTCATGGGCTGGAGAGATGGCTGTTCTTCTAGAGGTCCTGAGTTCAATACCTTGCAATCACATGGTGGCTCACAACCATCCATAATGAGACCTGATGCCCTCTTCTGGCATGCAGGTATACATGCAAAAAGAACACTGTCATAATAAATAAACAAATAAATAAATAAGTAAATCTTTTAAAAAGACTATTTTAAAAAGTTTGAATGTATTTGATCCCCATAAGTTCATAAGGAGTGACACTATTAGGAGGTGTGGCCTTGTTGGGGGAGGCTGGAGGGCACAAGCCTTTAATCCAGACCTCGATACTGGAGGGCACACCTTTAATCGGGGCCACACCTTCTGTTGTAAGTGTGTCGTCACTGTGAGGGCGGGCTTTGGGGTCTTTTTCTGTAGCTTCACTCAGTGTGACAGTCAACTTCCTGCTGCCTTCTGGTTAAGAGTACACAGCATCACCTCTGTCTCATGCTGTCATGATCCCTGTCATGAACCTCCGAAACTGTAAGCCATCACAACTAAATGTTTTCTTTGTAAGAATTGCTGTGGTCATAGTGTCTCTTCACAGCAATAAAAACCCTAACTAAGACATACAAACACATGAACATACACACAGACACTGATAAAAGATACTGAAGACCTCAAGCAATTGAGGACTTGGAGAGAGAACACTGTTCTCATGGCCCAGAAGACTCACTGCCACGAAGATAGTTTTACTGAGGACTAGCCCAATGAAAGCACACTTGCCTAGTATTGGGGAGGCTTTGTGTTTAATCCTTATATTGTACCACTGCCTGTTCCCCTGGCCCAAAATTTCAGCTGATTCTACAGTTTGTTTCTATACACATGTGCTAGTTTTATGTCAACTCGACACAAGCTACAGTCACTGGAGAGGAGGGAGGCTCAATTGAGACAATGCCTCCATAAGACTGGGCTGTAGACAAGCCTGTAGGACATTTCCTTAATTAGTGATTGATGGGGGAGGGTCAAGTCCATGGTGAGCAGTACCATCCCTGGGCTGGTGGTCCTGGGCTCTATAAGAAAGCAGGTTGAACAAGCCATGAGGAGCAAGCCAGTAAGCAGCACCCCTCCATGTGCCCTGCATCAGCTCCTGCCTCCAGGTGCCTGTCCTGCTTGAGTTCCTGTCCTGACTACTTCCAGTGATGGATTACAAGGTGGAAGTGTAAGCCAAATAAACCCTTTCCCCCAAATTGCATTGATCACGGTGTCTCATCACAGCAATAGAGACCTTAGTGAGATATCACACAAGCATGCTATGTCATGTCAAACTGTCTGTCATTGTGACAGTATTGAGGGGGGTTGGGACCTTGAAGAGGTACTGGGGTACTGGACAAATGGCGGCACATGCCTTGAATCCTTTGGGAGGCAGAGGCCTGGAGATCTCTGAGTTCAAGGCCAGCCTGCCTGTGTGTACAGAGTTCCAGGACATCCAGGGCTGCACAGAGTTAGCATGGGGAATTTCATACATTAACAAACAGGCACAGGAGAGATTTAGTCTGGCCTTCGTGACTCCTGACGTCATGCTCACATAGCTACTCCAAAAAGAAGGAAGTCACACTGCAAACTTCAGGAAAACAGTGAAGGGTGTGCAGTCACGCAGACAGTCGCCTCACCAGGCACTCTGCCCAGAGACACCTAACCGTTTCTAACTGCCATCAGCAGAGCTTTCCCATCTTCCCAGCACAGCGGATCCCTCTCGAACATGCCTGCGGGGCCTTTCACAGCACATTCTAGTTAGTTCTCTGTCTTTGACTGGATTCTAGTAAATTCTCTTACTACCCACGTACCTGGCCTCGCTGGGGTCTCCAAAGACAATTACCATGCCTGGCTAAGTTTCCTCTTTTATTTTATTTTTCTTTTAAAAATTGTTTATTGGCTAGGTGTGGTGATACATGCCTTTAATTCCAGCACTTGGGAGGCAAAGGCAAGGGGATCTCTGAGTTGGAGGCCAGCCTTGTCTACAGAGTAAGGTCCAGGACAACCAGAGCTACACAGAGAAACCCTGTCTCAAAAACAAATAAACAAACAAACAAAAATTGTTTTTGGCCTGACGTATTGTCACATTTCTTTAATCCTAGCACTAAGGAGGCAGAGGCAGGAGGAATCTATGTGAGTTTGAGGCCAGCCTACTCTACAGAGTGAGTTCTAAGCCAGCCAAGGCTTGATGAGATCCTGTTTCCCCAAAAAATTAATTTTATCTGTGTGTGTGTGTATGCACTCATGTGTGCAGTGCCCACAGAGGCTGGAAGAAGGCATCAGATCCCTGTGGAACTGGAGCTTATGAGGTACCTGATATGGGTGCTGAGACTCAAACCCCGGTCTTCTGCAAGAGCAGCAAGAATTCTTTTTTTTTTTTTAAAGATTTATTTATTTATTCATACAGTATCCTGCCTGTAGGCCAGAAGAGGGCACCAGATCTCATTATAGGTGGTTGTGAGCCACCATGTGGTTGCTGGGAATTGAACTCAGGACATCTGGAAGAGCAGTCAGTGCTCTTAACCGCTGAGCCATCTCTCTAGCCCCCGAGCAGCAAGAATTCTTAATCACTGAACCATCTCTCCAGCCGTCTCTTATCTTTTTACGTGTGTGTGTGTGTGTGTGTGTGTGTGTGTGTGTGTGTGGCGGGGCCAGACTACACGCATGGTGCGCACGTATGTAAAGGTCGGAGGACAGCTTTCCTGGAGTCAGCTCTCTGTGCCCCATGTAGGGCTGACTTCAGGTCTTCAGGCTTGGTGGCAGGTGCTTTTTCTCATCATTCATAGCAACAGGCATAGCAACAAGTTTAACAGATTCCTTTTGATTAGACAGGTGTCTTTGACAGCTACCCCTCCCCTGAGACAGGCTTTCCCTGTGTAGCCCTGGCTGTGCTGGAACTCAGAGAGATCCACCTGCCTCTGCCTCCCAAGTGTTGGGATTAAAGGTATGTGTCATCAATGCCCGACTAGATACTTTTTATATGGGTGTGATGGTCTGAATGAGAACGGCTCTGATAGGTTCATATACTCAAATGCTTGGTCACCAGGGAGTGGAATTGTTAGAAAGGATTAGGTATTATGACTTTGCTGGAGGAAGTGTGTCACTAGGGGTGTGCACTGAGGTTTCAAAAGCCCATGGCAGGCCCAGGTTTTCTCTCTGCCCGCTTGCTGCCTTTGGATCAGGATGTAAAGTCGTCAGCTGTACTTCCATTGCATGGGAGCCGTCATGTTTCCTGACACGATGATAATGGATTAAGCCTCTAAGTGTAAGCAAGCTCCGCCTCCCAAAATAAATGCTTTCTTTTGTAAGAGTTGTCATGGCCATGGTGTCTCTTCACAGCAATAGAACAGTGACTAAGTGGGTGAGTGCTTGCATGTACATGTGTGCACGGTGTGTGTAATTGCCTGTGTTGGCCAGAAGAGGGCATTGGATCCCTTAGCGCTGGAGTTACAGATGTTTGTGAGCTGCTGTGTGGGTTCTGGAACCAAACCCAGGTCCTCTGGAAGAGCAGCCAGTGCTTTTCACTGCAGAGCCATTGCTCCAACCCCTGTGACCACTTTTTGACAAACTATGTGTGTTGGGGGTGAAACTCAAGACAGAAACTAAAGAATGGTTTTTCCTCTTCTTATTTATTTATTTGTTTATTTTTACTTATTTGAACTATAACAGGAGACATTGCTAGCTAGGGGCAGAGGCTAAAGAAGATATAGCATAGCAAAAGAAACTCTCCTTTCCCCCCAAAGGTGATCTGGGGAGACTGGGGCTACCCTGAGAGCCTCCAGGGTTTTAATGGCCACCTTTACTCATTGTAATGGTGGACAAAAGTTAAAATCTTGGATTTCCGCCGAGGGTTGTCTCCAGCTCCCAAAGAGATACGCCTATGGTAAGAGAGTATGTTGCCCTGTTTCTTGCTCTGGTAGATGATTTGGGCATGGGTAACGACAAAGTACAGACAGAAGCTGTGTAGGGACGCCCGGGACACCCAACCGAACCAGCGCATGGCTCTGACCAGCGTCATGCAGAACTCATCGGTGAGGATTTGGACCACCAGGTTGATGGACTCATAGGTGAAGATCCAGATGGTGTAGCTCATGAGACCCCCATAAATCTGGGCATACACGGAGTACAGGAGGAAGCAGCTGACGGCCATGGTGACGAGGGACAGGAACAGGATGATTTTGAAGCTCCAGCAGATGAAGAAGTATCTCACAACATTGATGCCCTGACTCTGGAGGCTACTCGTGCAGTTGTCGTTCCCAAGGTACTTCTTTTCGAAGATGAGGTGCATGTGGGTGGCCATGATGGAAAAAGCCCCTGACAGCACTGTGCCCATCTTCGCTGACAGCCCATACCAGTTCTGCTGCCTCATGCCAGTACCTCCTGTGGAGACAAGCGACCCCACGGGAGCTCAGTGCCTGTCCGCGCATGCATGAGGTACCAGGCTCTCCACCTCTGTCTCTGTCCCCCACCTTGGAAACAGAGAGAGGAAAGAAAGTGGGAAATAGCGGCTTTGGCTGACAAAAGATGGGGGTGGGGAGGAAGGCCGATGGCTCCTGGGTAAAGGGCTTACAGAAGACTTGAGTTCAGGGTGGCCCATTGTAAAACCCCTGTGATGGCCTGTTTCTGTAAATTCAGGCCCTTGGGTGTGTGGGAGGGAAGGGGAGGGGGATGGAGACCTGCAGATAGATCCTGCAGTTCACTGGCCAGCCTGCCTAAGCAAAAACAGAGTTTTTAGTTCAGTGAGAAAACCTCCTTTCAAAGCCACAGAGGAGGATGCCTCTCTGCAGCCCGAAAACTGGCTCCTTGGAATGCTCTAGAAGAGCAAGCCAACCAAGCGGGATGTTTTATCACATCTTAGCCGGGCTTCAGAAGTCCCACAGTGATCATCCTAGCCGTCTGCTCTTCAGAAACTAGCTCCACATGCTGGGCCATAGACAGGGGGAGGAATCCTCCATTCCCCTGTGGGGGAGGCTCTGTCCACTGCTCATGCTCCAAACCCATGTTTGCCAAGTTGTCCAAAGAAACAGAAGCCATCAGAGTAAGGAAACGCTGACAGTAAACTGATATGCCCTGCCTTTCCCTAATGCCCTCCTTGCTGATCCTGAGGGCTCTGTGTGTAGCAAGGCCTGCTACTCAAAGTCTTTGTTAATCTGTTTCTCCCTGAGTGCCTGATATTAATAACTGACAGTGCACGCATGCGAGCGCGCACACACACACATTCAAGTTTTGTAGAAAAGAGAAGAGCTCATAGAGCCGATAAAACTGCTAGAACCACGTAGAGGACTATTAGAAAACACAGCGTGACAGTGTGAACTGTTGGTAACTAGACATCAGAAATCAATAAGAGTACCGCAGCAGAGCTGGGGGCCCGGCTCAGACAACAGTGTTCGCCTTGCACACATGAAATCCAGGGCTCCATCCCCAGTACTGTGTAGAACCGTGGTGCACACACAGCTGTAAACCCAGCACTCAGGAGATGGGGGCAGGAGGATCAGGAGTTCAAGGTCATCCTTGGTGGTATAGTAACTTAAAGAACAATTTGAGGGCTGGAGAGATGGCTCAGTGGTTAAGAGCATTGCCTGCTCTTCCAAAGGTCCTGAGTTCAATTCCCAGTAACCACATGGTGGCTCACAATCATCTGTAATGAGATCTGGCGCCCTCTTCTGGCCTGCAGGCACACATGGAGGCAGAATATTGTATACATAATAAATAAATAAATAAATAAACAAACATTAAAAAAAAAAGAACAATTTGAGCTGCGGGGAAACCCGTCTCAAAAAAATAGGAGAAAAACACGTGTAGGAGTCACTTCAGTAAGGAATGGTTCAGGGCTGGAGAAATGGCTCAGTGGGTCAGCTGTTGTAGAGCACCTGGGTTAATTCCCAGCACCCACATGGCAGCTCACAACTGCCTGTAACTCCACTTCCAGGGGCTCCGACATCTTTAGACAGACATATATGTAGGCAAGACACCAATGTACATAAAATTAAATAAAATTAATTTAAAATGGAAAGAATGGGATGAGATGAGGCACTTGCTGCCAAGCCTGACGACCTGAATTTGATCCCGGACTACATAAATGGCTCCACAAAGTTGTCCTCTGACCTCCACGCACATGCCGCAGCACAGGTGGCTCCCACTATATACCATAATAATTAATAACAATGTAAAGGCAGGAATAAACTGCCACAGAGTCCCACAAGGAGGATGTTAAATAGTTGTCAAATGAACCTCGGCTGAATTGTCTGATCCCCAGGACCCACAGGGTGGAAGGAGAGAGCTGAGTCTGGGAAATTGTCCTCTGATGGTCCCCAGGAGACTGCCATGACACGCGTGTGCACACACATGCACACAAAATGAATAAAGATATGAGAAGATTTTAAAAGACCCATTTGTAGATAACCTTGTGAGACTGCCTTGAGGATTAAATGAGCAAATACATTTGGAAGACTCGGAAGGGTTTTGTGCCCGGGGAGCACTAAGCTGTTCAGTGTTCTTCCGTCTTCATGCCAAGGGGCAGCTCCTGCTCGCTCTGTGCGTTAACTACTGCTTGTTGAGCGTCGCACAGAGACGCTAGTTAGTGTCCCTTTCCCTGCCAGGTTCCTCCTTTGCTAAGAAAGTCTGGTTGTGTTCAGGATGGCAAGAAGCCCAGATCCAGGCACAATATTTGTCTTCCCAAACATTGTCTTGAAGTAAGGCCACCCATGGGCACAGTCCTAGGAGATGAGACACACGTGGAAACGGGCTGGGCACTCTGCCAAGTTTTCTTTCTGATAATGGAAGAGGATGTGGGTGGTACAATACTTACATTTTATTTTCTCTCTTTTTCAAGACTTATTTTAATGTGTATGTGTGTGTATATGTGTATGTGTGTGTAGTGCCCATGGAGTCCAGAGAAGGGCATCAGATCCCTATGAAGACTGTGCTGACTTGGAGCTTACAGAGCTCCTGCCTCTGCTTCCTGAGTGCTGGGGTTAAGGTGTGTGCTATCAAGGTTGGTCTACGACTGCATTTTATTTATTTATTTTTGAGACTCTGATGTCCTGGAACTCACTATATAGATCAGGCTGGCTTTGAATTCATAGAAATCCTCCTGCCTCCAAGTGCTGGGATTAAAAGCATGTGACATTATGTCTGACCCAAGACTGCATTTTAAAAAGTATCTATCTATCCATCTATCTATCATCTATCTATCTATCTATCTATCTATCTATCTATCTATCATCTATCTATCGATTATCTATCTATCATCTATCTATCTATCTATCTATCGATTATCTATCTATCCATCTATCTATCATCTATCTATCCATCCATCTATCTATCGATTATCTATCTATCTATCTATCATCTATCTATACATCCATCTATCTATCCATCCACCATCTATCTATCTATCTATCTATACATCCATCTATCTATCCATCCATCCATCTATCATCTATCTATCTATACATCCATCTATCTATACATCCATCCATCATCCATCGATCCATCGATCCATCCATCCATCCATATATCTACCTACCTATCATCTCTTTATGCTCAAGTGTATCTCTCTTTCTCCTCTCTCTCCTTTCTCTCTCTCCTTTCTCTCTCTCTCTCTCTCTCTCTCTCTCTCTCTCTCTGTGTGTGTGTGTGTGTGTGTGTGAGAGAGAGAGAGAGAGAGAGAGAGAGAGAGAGAATGAAAGAGCAGGCACTCCTACCACAGCCTGTACATGGAGATCAGAGAATGACTTTGAGAATGGGTTTTCTCTCTCCCTTTAAGTAAGTTCTCAGGATCAAATTCAGGCCCAAGGTAAACTCCGTGCTTGCTGAACCATCTTGCTGGTCCACCTTGAGACATGTTTGGCTATTTCCCCCTTTAAATGCTGTATCTATATTAACTGACCTATAGCTATCATGCTCTAAGGAATTACCTTAAATGTTATACACTAGGAAGGCAAACATTTGTAAGCTATTTTAAAAAATTCTCTCTCTCTCTCTCTCTCTCTCTCTCTCTCTCTCTCTCTCAATAGGGTTTCTCTATGTAGCTTTTGCTGCCTGGAACTCATTCTGTAGATCATTAAATGCGTGCACCACCATTGACTGGTTTGAAATCTTATTTTTAAAGCTAGGCTCTCTCACTGGAACTCACTAAGTAGGCTAGGCCGGCCAGCCAGTGAGCTGCAGGGACGCAGGGATCTGCCCTCTCTGTGCTTAGATTACAAGCATGTCTGGCCTTTTTTTAAAATGTGGGTTTTGGGGATTGAGCTCAGGTCGTCACATTTACAAAGGTGTAGTGGTTTGAATAAGAATGCCCCAGGATCGTGTATCTGGATGCTTGGTGCTCAGCTGGTGGAACTGTTTGGGAAGGATTAGGAGGTGTGGCCTTGTTGGACAAGGTGTGCACTATGGGGGTGGGCTTTGAGGTTTCAAAGCCAGGCCTTGTCTTTCTCTTTCTCTCTCTGACTGCTGCTGTGGATAAGATGTAAGCTCTCAGTTACTGCTCCATGCCTGCCTGCTGCCCTGCTTCCTGCCTTGGTGGTCATGGGTTCACCCTCTGACACTGTAAGTCCCCAAATTAAATGCTTTCTTTTATAAGCTGCCTTGGACCTTCATTGTCTACTTTCTAGTTTCGTGATCTGCTTCTCTCTGTTTCTCTGTCTCCGTCTCTCTCTCACACACAGACAGAATTAAAATCTAGGCTCACATATGAGAGAAAACATGCCAGATTTGTCTCTTTGAGCCTGGTTTGTTTCACTTCATATAATAAATTCCAGTTTCATCCATTTCCCTACAGATGTCATGATCTCATATTACATCACAGCAGAATGAGTTCCACGGTCTGTATGTACTACATCCATCAGCTGACGGACATCTGGGATGGTCCCACTCTTAGATATCTTGGGATTCTGAGGCAGGAAGCCAAAGTTTCTTAGCTGCTATGCCTCAGGAACCCTCCTGAGATCAAATAAAGGCCTGCCAGTTGAAGGCTGTCCTTGGAAGAGAGATGTCTCGCTCACCTGGCGACTGGTAGTTCTTGGCTGGATACTGGTCAGAGACCTCAGCTCTGGATTAAGATCCAATTTCTGGATTAAGGGATGCCCAAGTCTCCTCGTGCCACTGCGGTAGGCTTTCCACGAGAGTAACTAGTGGTGCCAGCAGAGAAGCAGCTGTGTCTTTTTTTGTTTTCATTTTCTGTGTATGAGTGTTTGCCTGCATGTATGTATGTGTACCATGTGTATGCAGTGCTCATGGAAGCCAAAAGAGGGCATCAGTTGGGGCTGGAGGAACTGGAGTTAAGGGCAGTTGCGAGCAGCAAGTACTCTGACATGAAGCCATCTCTCCAGCACAGCGGTCCCACTTCTTAGAGACCCACTGAAGGCT